TATATATATATAAGCTTTATGATATAAATTATAGATACACTAACAATAATATTCAGATTTTCTCTAGTTGCTGCGTGAATTTTCAAAAAAAAAAACTCAATCAAGAAAGGTTTCAATTGTCTTCGGAATATTTTCCCTCTATCACTTTTTCTTGTTCCAGTACGATTTTATACAACACGTCCTCGAAAACAAACAAAAATGAATCCAAATCCCGCGAATTTATTTTCAGTAACATTTTTCCTCGGAATCAAATTTTCCCCCTAAGATTTTAATTCCATTTTTAAGATAAATTTTTCTCTCGTGACATAGGTCTGACAGTTGAGCTTCTAACTGGTTGTACAAGTATGTAGAATGTTGCCAAGGGCGCGGAGTTCTCTGTTTTTATGTCCTCCTTAAAATCAACAAAGGGTCAAGGGCACAAAATAAACAGTTGGTTTTGTGTAGATAGCTCTGAAAATAATGATTTTGCAAGAGCCTTCACAAAACTTATTTAATGTGTGTAGAGGAAATTTGTCAAACCCCTTCTAAACACCTTGACACCCTCCCCCCCCCCTCAAACCACCACCCAACAAGACCCAAAGGAGAAATTGGTAATCAATAAATCAATCCCATAATGAATCAATAATTATTCAATTCCTCATAATTCTTTGATTTTAAAAGACTATTTCTGATTTATTTTTCTGTTAGAAAAATCAGCGTATGTTTACAATTACATACAGTACATGATATACTGCATCAAGTACAGTGGTTAGCACGGTACTGTTCTAGGGTAGTAGGGTCATTTGAAAGTACGCTTTGGCTGTTGGAAATACAGTTAATTATACTTAGGAACAGACTTTGCAGTAGTTAAACTATGTTCGGGTAGTGTAACTACTCCTCCCGTGCAATACAGAGAAGAGGTAGAACTAGACATTGATAGTTTAAATACCATTCCATCCTTCATTTTTCACAAACTATAGATTTATCGTCATTGAACAGCCAACAAGACGTGATTTGTACAAACTATTTTATTGAATAACGATGCAATACGGTAAGACCAATAAAACTGCGGAGGGAAAGGACGATGTGAAGTACATTTATGAGTAATGAGTAATATTTGATGCTCTTTAAAGCAATTTACTAGCTCGAAAATCAACTTATCACCCCTATCGTGATTTGGCTATTTTAGTCTTCTATAGATTGGGGGGGTGGGGGGGGTTCCCCCTCTATGGCCTTAGAATTAGGTTAGGGGAGTGAAATACATGTCTCTTGTCTAACTGTTCACGGCCTGCTCGTTAAAAAAATAGACCTCTATCTTTTATGGTAAGGGTGCAACGGAGGATTTTATTTTTAAAAAATTTAAAAAAAATAGGTCGGAAAAATGTTTAAAAATAAATATATTACTATTGAAAAATATTAACATGTGACAAATGTTATTACATTCATTTTTCAAGTGCATTTCAAGCATAAAGTCTAGCTCTAAAGCTTTATTAATAAAAAGCTAGCAAACATTTCGGTTTTTTTAAACACGGCCCCGCCGTTTGACTGTCCTACACCCTATACCCTGTGCATCAAAAAAATATTTGTTTAACAAAACGTTAAAGTTGAAAAAGTGAAGACGTTTTAGTGTTCCAATGTAATTCATTTTTAAGTTATTTAGAAAATCAGCAGGGGGAGGAACCCACCTAATCTTTATAAGGTTTTGTTAAATGGTTCTGTGTACACTGCGCAATTGCTGCGTTTTTAATATTCAGTAAACAAGTCTTAACTTTAGTCTAACTGTTGTCTTCCATTTTCACATTTTCATGGGTCTCACTGTATTCTATCCTTGTTTTAAGAAAAGATTTCGTTCCTGAAAATTGAAATAAGTTTAAGACGACATTCAACATGTCTGATTTTTCAATGATTATAAAGGACACTCATAAAGAATGAAACATTAATAACGACCACAGATGTCTTTAAAAGTCATGATCTAATTAAATATATTTTTAGTCTGCTGCATTCATCATATTATTACAAATACTATTAAAAAAATTAGATGAGAAAGAAATCGAGGTATAGTGAAAATTTTTTTGACTCAAAAGACTCAAAAAGAGTCAAAATGAATGACTAAAGACTAAAAAACTAGATTTTTAAATTTTAGGAACAAAATTAAAGGATTAGAACAGGAATTTAGGAACAATTAAAAGATTGTTCAGGAATTCGGAACAAAAATAAAGGATTAGGACAGGAATTTAGGAACAATTAAAAGATTGTTTAGGAATTAGGAACAAAAATAAAGGATTAGGACAGGGATTTAGGAACTATAAAAAGATTTTTCAGGAATTAGGAACAAAAATATAGGATTAGGACAGGGATTTAAGGAACAGGAACAATAATAGGAACATTAGCAATTTAAAAACAAAAAGAAATTACTAGTTATACTTAAATGCATGAAAATTAGGAACAATATTACAATTTTGATAAATGAGTATTGATTAAGTAACATTACTAGATATGAAGAATATTATACCTTAAGTCTAGTTTCTTACAAATTTCTAATTCTAAATTTATCGTTAACAATAACACTTATCAAATTGGGAACATTTTTTGCCTCGAAATCTCAGGGGGGGGGCTACGCCCCTCCCTGAATTTTTTCAGGGGAGGGCGAATGTCCCCCGCCCCCCCCTGTATCCGCCCCGGCATATCATATCACATCAGTTTTTTTTCTCTTTGCAAAGTGTTCAGCATCGTTTTTTTTCGTTTCTATGATTTAAAAACCTGTAAAACATCGCAAAATTCAAAACTTGTAATTTTTGTTTTACTTTGCCAATTTACATGCTTTTCCTCTTCAGTTTATTTGTTGTGTGATGCAAGAAATTCAGTTTGACTGTTGTATGATGCAAGAAATTTCGTTTATTTGTTGTGTGATGCAAGAAATTCAGTTCATTTGTTGTGTGATGCAAGAAATTCAGTTTATTTGTTGTGTGATGTAAGAAATTCTGTTCATTTGTTGTGTGATGCAAGAAATTTAGTTTATTTGTTTTGTGATGCAAGAAATTCAGTTTATTTGTTGTGTGATGTAAGAAATCCAGTTTATTTGTTGTTGATGCAAGAAATTCAGTTTATTTGTTGTGTGATGCGATAAATTCAAATTATTTGTTGTTGATGCAAGAAATTCAGTTCATTTGTTGATGATGCAAGAAATTCAGTTTATTTGTTGTGGGATGCAAAAAATTTAGTTTATTTGTTGTGGGATGCAAAAAATTCAGTTTATTTGTTGTATGATGCAATAAATTCAGTTTATTTGTTGTGTGATGTAAGAAATTCATTTTATTTGTGGTGTGATGCAAGAAATTCAGTTTATTTGTTGTTGATGCAAGAAATTCAGTTTGATTGTTGTGTGTTGCAAAAAATTCAGTTTATTTGTTGTGTGATGGAAGAAATTGAGTTTATTTGTTTTTAATTCAATAAATGCAGTTTATTTGTTGCGTGATGCAAGAAATTCAGTTTATTAATTGTGTGATGCAAGAAATTCAGCTTATTCTTTGTTCAGTTCAGTTTATTTGTTGTTAATTCAATAAATGCAGTTTATTTGTTGTGTGATGCAAGAAATTCAGTTTATTTGTTGTGTGATGTAAGAAATTCAGTTTATTTGTTGTTGATGCAAGAAATTCAGTTTATTTGTTGCGTGATGCAGAAATTCAGTTTATTAATTGTGTGATGCAAGAAATTCATTTTATTCGTTGTTCAGTTCAGTTTATTTGTTGTTAATTCAATAAATGCAGTTTATTTGTTGTGTGATGCAAGAAATTCAGTTTATTTGTTGTGTGATGTAAGAAATTCAGTTTATTTGTTGTTGATGCAAAAAATTCAGTTTATTCGTTGTATGATGCAAGAATTTCAGTTTGTTTGTTGTGTGATACAAGAAATTCAGTCTATTTGTTGTGTGATGCAAGAAATTCAGTTTATTTGTTGTGTGATGCATGAAATTCAGGTCATTTGTTGTATGATGCCAGAAATTCAGTTTATTTGTTGCGTGATGCAATAAATTTATTTCACAAAGCCGCGTATATATAAGTAGTTGTGAAGTTAAAGTCGTGAAATTAAGTCAAACTAACCTAAAATTCACGTTTGATTGAAACTAGACATGTTTTCTACGCACTTTCTCTAATTGAAGAGCTGTTGCAATAAACTAGACTGTTTTTATGTCTCCAAACCAAATAAACTTCTTTTTCTCGTACTTGCGAGAAAAAATAAGGCATGCGAGGACAGAAAGTCGTTCTAGTAATGACGCATGAATTGACATTCTCTTTTTGTCATAGCGGATTGTTTAAACATGCATCTTGATGCACTGCAATCAGCCACCTCTGCAAAATGTTAGGTATTGGTTTTTGCAAACAATTTTGCAATAACCTAATCCCCTGCAGGTTTATAGAACACTGAACCTTCTACTGATGAAATGAATCTTGTTTTCTGGAAACTGTTTACTTCTATAAATATTTGCTTACACATTGTTCAGCCTAATACAAAAAAATTCTAAATTCTAAATTCTAAATTTTAGCTAAAATGTCTATGAATGTAATCGAGTTTTTCTCTACAAATTCTGTTTCTTTAATCTAGACATTTTCAAAACCAAATGTCGTAGACCTTAGATATTTCAAACTATGAATTCATTTAGATCAAATAATGAAAGTTCAAAATATCAAAGGCTAATGGTATTATTTGATTTGAGTTTGTGGTTTAATTCTATTTCCCCCTTGCTTTTTTAGACATTAAAATATTTCTAGAAGCAATTATTTATTGTTTAACCGGACATACACCCAACCCATGGGGTCATGTTTGGTTCTAAAACAAAGGAATTGAGTCTTTCCCACAAATTCAAATTCTAATGTAAATAGCCTATGTACTTTGTGATGCAAACCTTTGATATTTCAAACTTGTATTATTTGGTTTAATGAAATTTCTACTTTAAAATACCTGAGCTCTACGACATTGGGTTGTAAAGCAGCAAATAAACAAGTTAGACTTTAACAACTTTATTCGTGAAATATAAATAATTAGATATAAGATTATGTAACAGAAATGCGAAGGTTTAATTTGTACTCAGATCTATAAAAGATGAGGATGGTTAAAAATAATAAGAATTTATATGGTTGTTGTTTGTTATTTCTTTAAATTGCAAATATTCTCATGAAAAAATTGGTTGCCATTATTATTACGTACAAGTTAACATTCCATTAAATATAATTTTATCGAATTTGAGAGTTTCCTAAAACTAAAAAATCGCTTATATTAAACCAAAAATCGCTTATTTGACAGCAAAGTTGGATGTTGATTGTCCGCCATGTAGGCGACAAAAAATCACTTATATTAAACCAGAAATCGATTATTCTACGGCAAAAAGTTTAATGACTTCCAAATAAGCGTTTTGTGTCGCCTATTTGGCAGCTATCGCACTTTGGCTATGAAATAAGCTATTTTTTATATCGTAATTTAGAGTGATTTTTTGTAACAAACCCTAATTATGTAGTTAAGGTCACCCACATTTTAGATAACAATCCCTTTATGTAGTTTCGAAGGCAAGGTAGCTAATGAGTGAATAAGGAAGTTCAGTTCTTGGTATTCTCCTAAACACAAATAAGAAAATATTAGAAAAGGAATTGAGTCACAAAATCAAAGTTTCTAATCTCTATATCTTTGCAACCTGATTGTGTAAACTTTTGATGTTTCAAACTTAGATTATTTGATAAAACAGAAATCATAGTTTGAAATATATAAGGTCTACGACATTGGGTTAGGTAGATAAAGGGATTAGAAAATCAGAGTTAGTGGCAAAGACTTAATTCCTTTTTTTTAGTTTTTAAATATTAAAGTAACTTAATAAACTTTACTGAAGTTCCAACGATAAAATTTGTTAAAAACTCCTTAAAAAGATAGAAACTATTTTCATTTTTTTAAACCATCCTACCACTCAATTATTCAGGTTAGATGTCTCCTATTTTTAATCGATTAAATTCTTTAAATGTTTTTTTAATATAAATGCATCAAATTTAAATCATCTTACCTTATAACTCTTTGTACACTGTTCCCTGGTCCAACCATTGATCTAAACAGTTTGTAAAAAAAATGTACTCTAAATTTTACAAAATGTTCTCCATATGCGTAACATTTTTGGAAATGTAAGAGCGTTCTTTAAAAAAATAAAGAACGAGATTGCAAGGGATTGAACTCCTCATTAACCAGTGTTCCAGGAACCGGCGGAAGGTAGTTCACCGATCTCTCTCTCTGGTTAATATTTTCATTTCTTAAAGGTTTATGTTTTTCATACTGTTGATGGTAAAGCACAAAATTTAGGTTCCATTAGAGGTTAGAAGTGTACAGCAACAAATTTATAAAGTGCTATCTGAATTTTATATCTTACCTAGCATACGCTCTGATAACAGTTCGACACTGTGCTCTGAAAAAAAGTATAAAATGAAATAAAAAATAACGAAATTTAAAAAATAGTGCTCATTGAAAAATAACCCTAAAAAACGATGCAGGGCCAAAATGTAGAAAATAAAAGCAAACTAACACTTCAGAAATAGAAAAAGAACAGAATAAACAGAAACAAATTTAAGATGTATTTTCAGGAATAAGAATTAGAAAAAACAAAAATGTTTTAACAAAACTAAAAAGTAACAAAAGCTTGGACCAAATCGAATAAAATTAATACAGAAAAATAAAAGTACAAAATCAAGATTAAAAAAAACAAAAAAAACAAAGAATACCTAAGAGTATAAGGTACTTTTCGGTCTAGTATAGCGTGAACTATGGCATCCCTATTCCTTAAAAAATATGTACGTATATAGAATTTGCATTTTAAGTCTATTCATTCGGGGCCAGTGGATCGTATATTTTCCTCTAAAATCAGCCCCCCCCCCCTTCTTTTAACAAAGTTTTTATAATCTCAGAAGTTTGTCTAGGTTTTTATTCGCCGAATTTGGAAAAATAAATAAATTTTGGTAACAAACTATGTGAAATGATAAAAAAGCTTGCTTTCTATAGAACAATTTTTAATTTTTTCTCAGATCTTCAAAAATCAAATTTCCCAAACTATTGATTGGTTGTTCACGGAATTTCGAATAAAAATTAAATTAATTTGTAGATTAACAAAAGATCAAGCATTTAACTTGATTTCTACAGTATTGATCTCCATATCCGCAATATAATAGTTCCCAGCTCATAAGGACTGATATAATGAGTATTCTTACCTTTTTAGAGCGTGATAAAGTCCGTTTCTACCACAATCATCCTGTGCAAAAGTGTTGATGTAGTCAATTTCAGAAAGTCTTCATTTTCAAACCAATTTTTACTCAGTATATTTCATGAAAAAGTATTATTAAAAAATCAAATTCCACAAGCTAAACTGTAAGATTTCATTTTTACCCCATTATTTTAGTCTTTCATTTTAGAGTACATCCTTTACATAGTTTCCATCTCACAGAAAAACTATTGTTTTTATTAGTAAATTGCTCATTCAAGCAAAAATGGTAATGCCTGATTTACAACGGTACCCTTGACTTGATTTGTATCTGGTCAAAAATGTGGAAGATAAGTATATTTCGTCGGTTTTCTGACTCGAATTTTAATAATTCTGTATTCTCTCTTTTCAGCAGAATTGCACAATTCACTTATGCAATGAAATTACAAATAAAATAAGCAGTTTAAAAACAAAAACTTATTGTTCTTATTAAGGTTTCACAGCGGAAGCAAACTTTTGCGCTAAAATGTGCAAATTATATCGCCAAATTTCGCATTTTTGAGCAAAAATTAATATTGTGGAAGCTAGCGCAAATGATGCGCAATCCCGGGGAAACTAGAGTTGCAGCTTATAACAAAATTAAAAAAAACTTAATGGGTACCGTTGTGAATCCAGCATTATCATCTTTTCTGGAGGGTCACTTTAAACTACACTTGCAGTCCCTTTAAATTCCATTTTGTTTTGTTTGATGTTTACTGACCTGACATGTAGTATCACATCCCACCTCTATCAAATACAATGCAATATCCTAGAATTATTTAATAATAATTTCATAATATTAATATTCCTTAAATATAAAATACCGTGTTAAACAATTACAACAGATTTTGCAGATAAATAAGAAAAACACTGTAAATTTTACAGATAAATAAGAAAAATACTGTAAATTTTGCAGATAAATAATAAAAATACTGTAAATTCATGCAGATAAATAAGAAAAATACTGTAAATTTTGCAGATAAATAATAAAAATACTGTAAATTCATGCAGATAAATAAGAAAAATACTGTATATTTTGCAGATAAATAATAAAAATACTGTAAATTCATGCAGATAAATAAGAAAAATACTGTAAATTTTGCAGATAAATAATAAAAATACTGTAAATTCATGCAGATAAATAAGAAAAATNTAATTTTCACACAAAAACTATGTTCTTCCCCAATTCTGCAAAAAAGGAAAAAAAACGAAGGGGGTGTAAAGAGGTGTAAAAATTCATGTTTAATTACCTAGATATTTGATTACCTGGAATCCATATTGGCAGGCTATAAGGAACGGAGTCCTATCATGAAGATCAACTATATCAACATTACAGTTTCCTAAAACAATCAAACCAAGTCTTTCGAAATTGTTTCAAACGTTTAATACTTAGTCAAAGTTTAAAATAAATAAAGTTAGAAATATCGGATTAAAAATATAGGATAAAAAACTTCGAAATTATTATAACTTTTGAAATTTTTAAAATGAAGAAAATAAAAATTGAATAAATTTCAAATAATTCAAATAAATGAATAAAAAGATAAATAAATAAATGATTCAAAGGATAGATGAATAGGTGAATAAAAGGAAGGATAAATAAAGGATGAATGAATAAATAATTATGAGGAAGGATGAATAAAGAATAAATGAATGAATAATTCATACCATGGTGAATAAGAAGTTCTACAATATCTTTTCTCTTATAACTGACAGCTTCAAACAATGCATTCTCACCATGCTTGCTCTAAAGTAAAAGTTTTATTAAATAAAAATCAGGCCATTGCACGTTTTCAATGATCATATTGGTCATAATTATATAATATCATAATTACATTTGCCAAAAAAATTACAGTTGCCACATTTAATCTGCAGAAATGTAATTGTTGAAAACACTTTGTACGCCCTGGACTTACTTGGGCGAAATGCGTTCGGTTTTATCGCATGTTGGTCAATAATGTAACAATCTTTTTAGTTTTTTTTCATTAAACAATGTAACAATATTTTCATTAAAAACAAGTAAGCTGAAAAAAGAAGACAGAAGAAGAAGGATTTTTTATACGTCAAAGTCGTGTACTTATGCCCACAACCCTTAAAGGGAGTGTTCGCGAAAAAACTAGCTAATTAACTAAAAAAAATAAAAATATTTCTAAAATAAAAATAACGTCAAAGTCGCAGCTTGCTGGATAATAAAAGAAAATAACTGTTAAATCCACGTTAATATACAAGCTGTCTGAAAGTTTTGTCCCCTCCCCCCCACTCTTTACCCCTGTTCCCCCTCCCCAATTAATCATTACCTGATGGTTAATATCTATTCCGGGATGGTTTATAAGTGCCAGAACTGCACCAATATTTCCATTCCTAAATATAATAAACTTGAAAACAGATTTAATAAATAGAAGAAGTAGATGAGCTATGTTGACTAAATTGAATCACATGTCAATTCAGTTTAACCCGGCGACGCACAAGAGAACTTTTTAACCCTCTTTGGGGGTCTGAATCTATGTATAGCCTGGGAGTCCCACGCCCCCCTCCCTAGAAAAATATCTGAATATATAGATGTAAGGTTGAAATGCATGTTCATAGTCCAATTTTTCAAGGCCAGCTCATTGAAAAAAAAATTAGACCGATATCTTGAAAAGTTTGGGTGCTAGGAAGGGTACAAAAAAATGCCAAAAATAGGTTCAAGAAAATGTAAAAATAATTTTTTTGTGATAAACAAATAAACTTGTTACCTCTCTGTACCCTACCACCCTATACTATAAAAAAAATTACAAAAAATGCTTAATATTTTTATTCATCAAAAGTAAAAAATCTTCACGGTGATAGTGTGAAAAATGAGGGTGCTAGCTAGGACAAACTAGAGTGGTCTGCTTGTTGTAAAACCAGCGGTACGTGGTTCTGCTACATATTGCTAGTTGAACCACGTACCACTGGTTTTACAAGTTCTCTGTGCACTAGCTTAAGCTATTCATTAAATCTGGTTCTTGGATTAAAATATATTTTTAATCAAACCTGCAGTCTAAACTTGGACATTTTAAGTTGTTAATCATTTAAAATGTAGATTAATTGCATAATTCGTTTTATTTTACAATATTTATTGACACGAATTGCTTCAGTAAGTTGTAGAACACTTATTGCCTATTTGAGTGTTGGTATAAAAGTAGTAAGTTACTGATCAATGATGTTGAAAAGATTGCCAACTGCAAAATTGTGTCAACTAATTCTGCTGTAATACGCTGCTGTTGTAGGCCACAATAAGTGGATGATTACAATGGTAGAGGTAATTGCCGTCAAACAGTAAGTGGCTGAATACAATAAAGGATGTAAGTGCCGTCAAGCAGTAAGTGGCTGAATACAATAGATGAGGAAGGTGTCGTCAAGCAGTAAGTGACTGAATACAATAGAGGAGGTAAGTGCCGTCAAGCAGTAAGTGACTGAATACAATAGATGAGGTAAATGCTGTCAAGCAGTAAGAGGCTGAATACAATAGAGGAGGTAAGTGCCGTCAAGCAGTAAGTGGCTGAATACAATAAAGGAGGTAAGTGCCGTCAAGCAGTAAGTGGCTGAATACAATAGAGGAGGTAAGTGCCGTCAAGCAGTAAGTGACTGAATACAATAGAGGAGGTGCCGTCAAGCAGTAAGTGACTGAATACAATAGAGGAGGTAAGTGCCGTCAAGCAGTAAGTGACTGAATACAATAGAGGAGGTAAGTGCCGTCAAGCAGTAAGTGACTGAATACAACAGATGAGGTAAGTGTCGTCAAGCAGTAAGTGGCTGAATACAATAGAGCAGGTAAGTGTCGTCAAGCAGAAAGTGACTGAATACAATATAGTAGGTAAATGCTGTCAAGCAGTAAGAGGCTACATAAGTGAACTTACTGCGTAAATAAATGCAAGGTCGGAAGGAAGTCACTGAAACTTACCTAATTGCGTAAGTAAGTGCAGTTGTACCATAGTAAGTGGCAAGATTAACATCTATACTTGGTCTTCTTAGCAACATATCAACTGTATACCATTTAATTGACAGGGGTGTGACCAGGATTTTGTCCATAGGGGAGGCTTACCTTTTTAAGACAATCAAGCATTAGAACGCTAATAAATAAATAAATCAAGAAAAACTTGTTAAAGGTTTTATGTCGAGAATGAAACCGAACCAAAGAAATATGATTTTAATAAGTCAATATTTTTCAAAACCAAATTTTGTTGTTGCCTCAGATGAATACTTTTTGTATGTTATTCTGTTCAATTAACTGAGTTTAACCATTGATCGGGCTTAGCGCACCAAAGCAAAAGTGGTAATCTCTGATAATTAAATATTCCTATATCAGATCTCTCGTAGCAGGCTCTGATCAGAGCTGTGTGACCATCCTGTCCTCTCTGGTTTACCTGAATTAGGTTAAATGTCGTCTTGAAACAGAAATTCAGAATTTTTCCGAAAATATTTTTCAAATGACAAAGAATCTGAGTTTTGCCACAAACTCTGACTTTCTATGACATTGGCCTTTCATATTTCAAACTAATAGAATTCTTTGATTTTATTATAATCGGTTTACGCTATAAGGTTACCAAAATATAAAGATCTGAAATATTTCAGTTTTTAACTTCACATTTTTTATTAAAAAAGAATTATATTAACATGATGTTTCACGCCATCATGACGATCCTCAGTAGTTGCAATTCTTTGAACAACTCTGAAATATTTAGTTAGTGGCAAGAACTTAGTCGCTTAAATCTTAAAATCTTCTTCGAAAAACAAAAAAAAAAACATTTGAAAAGTGTCACCTTGATATCAGGCCTCTCCAGTAATAGTTTAACTAAAAACAGAAAATATGAAAATATATTTATTGTGAAAAAATCGTCTATTTGAAGTAGCGTTAATTCTAAAATTTGTTAAGTGATATCTTGCTTAAAGGGAGTGTTTGCGCAAAATGAAAGAGAGTATAGGCTTACGTCGAAAAATTAACGATGGTGATCGCTACAAAGCTTACTTCTATCTGTTGCGTCTATAAGGAGAAAATTGTTGCAAGATTCGACTTGGATCGTAAAAAAAAATAATTTAATTCCCAACAAATCATTTACAAATTAAAACCTAGTCGAATGTTCCAACTTTCTGAATTTGTGTGGACGCTACGTTCTTCGGTATGAATAGTATTTAACAATTTTCTCCTTATAGAAGCAACAGATAGAAGTAAGATTAGTAGCGATGACCATCGATAATTTTTCGACGTAAGCATATGCTCCCTTTCATTTTGCGCGAACACTCCCTTGAATATAAAATTTATATTCTTATATATATGAGAATAATCGAGAAACAAATTTTTTTTTTTAAACTATCTTTTGGAAATAAATATATAAATTCTATAATTTAATGTTATTTTATTGGCTCTATAGTCTTTAATAAAAAAATATTCGATTTGAATGTTTTTTTAATGACTGTTTTTAAAAGCTCTTAAAATGTATAAAAAACCTTTTTTGACTAAATTCAAGCAATGCTCAATAAAAAATGATATGCTACAGAATGCACATTGTTACCTATATGCGTGTGATTTTCTTGAACTGCCATGATAAGCGGAGTATTTCCATTACTATAGGATACATTAGGATTAGTTCCTGGTTTTGATAACAGGTGAATAACCTAAAATATAAAAATTTACAACATTAAAAAAAAAGTTTCTAAAAACTAAACACACGTCAAACTAAAGTAAATTGCGCGTAAGATTGACGTGTTTTTAATCAAAACTCCTTTTATTAATAAGAAAACTGTTTTACATCTCTAATATGTGTTTAGCCGAATACTTTTCCTGTCTCTTAAAATGCGTGAAACCAAAACTAGAGTAGCTACGAGGTCACAAAATCATACCAGTAATGCTGCATTAATTTGTCTAGTTGTAAAATTACTTGACGACCCGCTGATTTTTTTAATAAAATAATTTGTCAGAAAAAAAAGCTTTTTTAAAAGGTTTTATTAAAAAGGCGTTTAATTTCTTAACAATTTATACTAAAAAACATGATAAATAATTTACAAACGTACACATAAAGTGGGGTTTAAAGGTGGATAATTAGATATTTATCAAATTATAAATAATTATGTATTAAATTATAAATCATTATTTATTAAATTACAGATAATGATAATTATAAATGATTATTTATTAAATTATCATTATCTTTTGATTAAACCTTATCAATTCTTCCATTGAATGCTGCAACAAGCAGAGCCCCGCTATCTGCTTCCTCCTCAGTCTAAATCAATCAATCAATGACATTTTAGAATTTTGATCGTTCAATCGTTTCAGAGATTCAATCATAACAAATGTTAATCAATCAATTTTCTGATGATCAATCATTAAAGTTTAAGGTTAACTTCAAGTATCAGAGATTCAATCAATTTAGTTTCAGTGTGTTAGTAAATCAAGTTTACAAGTTTCAATTAATTTTCAGAGTCTCAATTATTTAAGTTGCTGAGTTTCATCCAAGTTTCCAAAACAAATTTATCAGGTAAAGGGAATGTTAGCGTAATTCAAGTGATCTTCAATGCATTTATTTACATGCACACAATCAGTTATAAGTCCTCGATGATTAGTTATAGAATTAAAGGGAACCACTGTCCCTCTTCTTAATGGAAGGTCACTTGAAAACTTTGAAAAATATATATTTTAACAATCTTTAGATATCTGAAGATCTACGTTTAACCTGTGCAAAGGCGTGGCATCTAGAAGGGAGTGTCCACGATGCTCCACCCCCTCCTCTGAAGTGAGGTAGAAGATATCCATGCTGCTCCGCCCTAACCTCCTCCCTCTCCCATGTCAAGCAGGAGAAAAGGGGTGGAGCCTAAAAACAAAAACAAAAATATTTATAAAATAAAAGCTTTTAAAACGTTTTGCAGATTATCTATGGTCCTATCAATCTGTCCTATCTGGATAATCTGTGGCTCTATCTATCTTTCATATTTGATTAATTAGATGTTTTGCTATACGTCCAATCTGTAAAATCTGAAGTCATAGCAAACTGTTCTATCTGAATAATCTGCATGGCTCTATCTATCTGTTCTATCTGAATAATCTGCATGGTTCTATCTATCTGTTCTATCTGAATAATCTGCATGGTTCTATCTATCTGTTCTATCTCTAGCTACTGTTAGTGGTCCTAATTAACTTTGTAATCTCTACTGTTTAACCCTATAAAGGCTGGGGTTTGATTCTATATAAAGATGCCTTCCCCCGTCTCTAGAAAAAAAGGCCTTACAGGAAATTCATGTTCATAGCCCAAAGTTTTCAAGGCCAGCTCATTGAAAAATAAATTAGACCGATAACTTCAATAGTTTGGGTACTTATAGGAAGGGTGGAAAAAATTGCCTAAAATTGAGTTTAACAAATGCAGAAATTAATTAATTAAAAGTCAAAATAACCTGTTTAGGGTTAAATTTTACATTGTTCTTATATTTTTCTTATCTATCTGCATTAGATGTGGTCCTATTTATCCGTCCGGTGTTAGGTACTTTCCCAAAATTAGTTTTCTAAGGGCGATATCCCAAGTGAGAATATCCCAAGTGGCAACTTTCCAAATGTGCGATTTTACAAGCGAAAACTTCCTCTAAGTTAGGTTAGGCCTTCTGAGGCGCCGCAGGGTGAAATGGGACCTAGAACTGCGGCTAGGATTGGCTAAGGGGCCGAGCGCTGTAGATGTGGTCCTGTTTATCTTTCCTCTCTGAATTATCTATGGTCCGATTTCCAATCTAATGGTCCTATCTAGATTATCTGTAGTTATATCTATCTGTCCCATCTGTGTTCTGTAAGTTCTGTCCTGAATCCTGAACGTGGCTATCTGTAATCTATGTGGTCCAATCTATCTGTAATCTATGTGTTCCAATCTATCTGTAATCTATGTGGTCCAATCTATCTGTAATCTATGTGGTCCAATCTATCTGTCATATCTGCATTCCTGTCCTTTGTATGGCCCTATCTATCTGTCCTATCTATCTGTCCTATCTATCTGTCCTATCTATTTCTGACTAGGACAAAAACCTTAGTTTCATCATCATCAGGGAAGAAACAGGACTGCTGTCCGCTCAGGGACTGCCCTGAATAATAAAAAAAATGATCAGGAAGAAAATTAAAAATTGATAAATTTTTGATCACTTTTCTCGGTTTAAAGGATCTAACCGATCATTAATCCTTTTCNGGTGGTCAAATTGACACCTTTCCCCTCTCTATTTTCTAATACAAATCTATAACATTTGATAGCTTTGGAAAACCCTTGGGCAAATTTGCCAAAATCCAAATATTTCTTGCAAAATCTTGTTATGCAAAAGATGCCAAATTGCGCCAAATACAACAAATTATACATTTTTGAAAAGCCCTTGACCCAGCAAATTCAAATATGTAAAAATTTGTGAACATTTTGTAAACCTAAATGTGTATTCAAGAAAAACTGAAAATCTACAAATTCCCTTTAATGGCGTCTGTTAAAAAATTGTACAATCTGCTTTCTTTTGTTCATAGGCTTTCCAAAAATCTATGAATTGTTGAAATCCAATGACTGAAAGTAGGTCTAAATTTAGGATTAATATCGTCAATGATATATTGGAGAGTTTAAGACGTTTTTAACAACTTTTTCCTTACATACGCAACAGATAGAAGTAAGATTAGTAGCTATTAAAAGCGATTATTTTTATTTTTTAAGCACTTTAAGCAATATATAAATCTAAGTCACTGAACATGCTACGCACCTATGGCGATAAGGTCTCTTTTAATATAGTACTAGTGCACAGTAAATTTAATGTTGTGGTTAAACTTCGATCTACGAGCCTTAATTTTAGAACCCATTTTCACCCTTAGACTAGAGCTTTTTAATATTTGATATTTCATACTTTTTGTTGGACAATATATATTTTAAATATTAAAATGCATTGATTTGACATTAGAGAATTAGAGATAAAATATATCTTATATTATGTATAAACTATTTTGTTCAGTGGGACGCACCATATCTTAAAACATTAAGTTTTTGTGTTTTAAAACTATGTCTTGTCTTACCCATCCTTGATTAATGGCCATAAACCACTGTCATCATATTCTGAATAAAATAAGATTATTACGTATAAACTATATAGGAATGCTTCGACTTGGATTCGACATTTATAACTTGTAATATTTAAATAATTAGTTTTTAAGGAATTGAGTCTTTGCCACAAACTCAAATCTGCTTATCCCTAAATCTTTGCAACCTGATGGTGTTAACTTTTGTTATTTCAAACTTAGATTATTTGATCTAATAGAATTTATAGTTTGAAATATCTAAGGTCTACAACATTGGATTGCAAAATTACTAGGATTAGAAAATCAGAGTTTGGGTTGAGACTCAATTCCTTTATTTAAATTATCTAAGGTTTGGGTAAAATAACGCAACTCCGTGAATTTGTATATATGGGTCCTGCGCTCTTCGGTATGATTAGTTTTTAGTAATTTTCACTTTATAGACGCAACAGATAGAAATAAAATTAGTAGCAGTCTATATCGAATTTACACCCCCTTTCATTATTGGTTTACACTCCCTTTAGTTTAAGTGATATTTGTTAAAAAGAGACTGTTCATTTGACTTCAATCGACCCTTTAAGTTAGTCACATGTCTGATTCACAATTTTGACAATATATCATGTATTGTTTTCTTTTCTGAAAATTGATGTAAAAATGACTACATGAATTATGTACCAGAGGAAGGAAATTGGAAGAATTTAGTTTTTTTCAACTTTTGCACAAAGAGCTTACTTACGTAAACACAAGATACTAATTAGTCAATACTAAAGTGGCCAAACTCATGGTTGGATGACGACATTTGATGTCCCAAGTATTTAAAAGTAATATAGATTAAATATAGATTAACGTAAATAAAGATTTCAGAAGTGAATTTTAGCCATTTTACTGCACAATAAATAATTTCAGACAGAGCAATAATGCCAGCATGCATAATCTTTAAAACAAGGAATGTACAATTTGTGATATCGAAAAATAAAGATCTTCGAAATATATCTCTTGGTCTTCACTTTTACATGGGTCTTTGGTCTATTTTTTTCTAGTCTTTACTTTCCAAAAGAAATCTTTTCATGCAATTATTTTCAAACCAAATAAAACCTTATGGCCCAACCTGTCGTCGTTGCCTTAGTCTGTTCCTCTTTAGTAGTTATTCACTTTGCTAAGTAGTACCTTACGTAAACCGATTCGAATAGGACATGCATATATTAAAATAGACCTTTACTTAAAACCATGACATATATCAGTAGCTTTGAAACGAAGAAATTTTCGTTTTTCTTTGATAATATGTGTATTGTGTACATTAATAACTTTTAAAAGTCTATTTAATGCATATTTATTGCTACTGAATTGTGCAATATTAATTTTTCTAAACCTTTAAATTTCATAAATAACATTTGTTTTTACTTGACAGGACTCCAATCACGTTGGTAAAGCGCAATTTTAGGTTTATAAGAGAAACCTTTCAATGTTTACAAGAAAATTAGAGGCTTACTGTATTACGTTAGCCTCAGCTGATAGAACCAGATAGATAGATAGATAGATAGATGGATAGAGAAATATAGCTTTCTTTTCTGACTTTCCACCTACAGAGAAAATATAATATTACTAGGCTTTTAGGGCGCTTCGCGCCCTACTTCTATTTCAACTTTTATATGTGGCTTTATCTGTGACCATCTTCTCTTTGTACAGTATAAAACAAAAACAAAAATTGCGGATTTCTTAATATTTTTTCGCGCATTTTCAAAATTTTACAAAAATAAAAAACTTTTAAAAACAAATTTTTTAAATTTTGCTCATTCATAAACCTTCCATGGGGTCAAGTGAGGTCCCACACAAAATTTGGGCCCGATCGGTTCAGCCGTTTTGACGTTTATTGGATACACACAAACAAACAGACAGACGGACAAGCTAAATTTATATATACATCTATATATAAATTTGGCTTGTCTGGGTGTCTGTTTGTCTGTTTGTTTGTTTGTATCCAATAAACGTCAAAACGGCTGAACCGATCGGGCCCAAATTTTTTGTGGGACATATAGGGACCCCAGGGAAGGTTTATGAATGATCAAAATTTCAAATATTTGTCTCCATCAAAATTCGATCTTCATTAAATTTTTGAATATTTTGAAAGTCCACGAAATTTTTTGTGAAAATCCGCGAATTATTTTTGTTCTGTTTTACGATGTACTCAAAGAGAACATGTTCAAAATTAATTTAGAAGATGGGCGCAAAGCGCCCTCTAAGGCTAGTGTATATATAAACTTACAGATTAACAAAAATTATCAAATGAATAAACATTTAGACTTTTACTTACTACATTTTAAATTAAAAAAAAAATTCCCATAACTTATTTACATTTTTAGGGAAAATTCGCCGAACTTATATGATGGCTAAAGAAAGATGAGACTTCAATGACGACCTCAAGCTCTTAAAATACAAAATTCTAAATTTTAAGTTTTTAGGGTTTTCAAAAATGTTGCCCTTCAAGTTGTCATTTTTTTAACAACATTTTTTTAACCCAAAATTTGAAAAGAGCAATGAATTTTTTTCTCCGACCGTTGTATCTTTTTTTTATCCCATCATACATCTTCTGTTCTCAGTTTTCTGTTCTTCTTTGTAGATCTACGGATTCTAATCTCTTGTAGATCTACAGATTCTAATCTCTTGTTGATCTACGAATCCCAATCTCTTGTAGATCTACGGATTCTAATCTCTTGTAGATCAATGGATTCTAATCTCTTGTAGATCAACGGATTCTAATCTCTTGTAGATCTACCGATTCTAATCTCTTGTAGATCTACGGATTCTAATCTCTTGTAGATCTACGAATTATAATCTCTTGTAGATCTACGGATAATAATCTCTTGTAGATCTACGTAATCTCTTGTAGATCTACGAATTATAATCTCTTGTAGATCTACGGATAATAATCTCTTGTAGATCTACGGATTCTAATCTCTTGTAGATCTACGGATTCTAATCTCTTGTAGATCTACGGATTCTAATCTCATGTAGATCTACGGATTCTAATCTCTTGTAGATCTACGAATTCTAATCTCTTGTAGATCTATGGATTCTAATCTCTTGTAGATCTACGGATTCAAATCTCTTGTAGATCAACGGATTCTAATCTCTTGTAGATCTACGGATTCTAATCTCTTGTAGATCTACAGATTTTAATCTCTTGTAGATTTACGGATTCTAATCTCTAGTAGATCTGACACATATTTCTGATTCATACTATTATTCAATTTAATGTCTTGGCGCCAGAATTATCAATTACTAGGCTTTAAATTTTATTTGCCGCCATTTCTATTCGTACTTTTAAAGTTAAAAATTTCGCTGATTTTTCTATTAAATACCTTCTTATTTTACTTGATTCTTGTCTACAGAAAATTAGGGATACAAGAAGCGTCCTCATTTTGCTTCTAGCTGTAAATCTGGGTTGATGAGCCGAAATAAAGGACAATCGAAGGAATTTGTAAAAGTATTTCCTCTTCCCCCATTATTCTCCCTGCACGGGCATACTTTCCATACTCCAGGCTCAAATATGCTTTAATATAACATAGCGTTGTTGTTAAATGAACTTGTTTTAAGAGACTGTCCGTGAATTTCCAGGATAATTGAGGGTACTTAAAGGGACTCTAGGCGTAATTTCAAGTGACCCTAATTTTTGCATTTCTGATTTAAAACGATGTTCTTTAAATCTTTATCTAAGTAACACTGAGAAGGGCATCGTGGTCCGTTGATCTAAAAAAGTGTTGAATGGTGGTAAATTCTTTCTTTGGAAAAGAAATTGCACAAGTCACTCGGTCAGACGAAGGTTTAAAGAGTACCGTTGTAAATCGGACAAGCCAATAATCTGTAAATTGAATTTACTTCTTTCAGGGGTCCATATAATTCCCAAAATAGCTGATTTTCTCGATCCCAAAATAAATTTTTGCCCCCAGCTTTAAAAAAAACTTTTTTTTTTCAAATTCCACTAACACATTTGCCTCCATTTGCCCCCAATTAAGAAATATTTTCAAATTCCACTAACACATTTTCCCCCATTGCCCCCATTGCCCCCAATTAAAAAAACCTTTTCAAATTCCACTAACACGTTTACCCCCAATTTAAAACAAATGCCCCCAATTTTTTTTTAAATTATCATTTAAAAAAATTTGCCCCCATTTCTTTCAAATTTGTCAATCCCAAATGGGATTGAAAAAGGAATTATATGGACCCCTGACTTCTTTGTGTTTTTTTCTAAAATGTAAAACCTTAAAACCGAATATTTTCTTTAAAACTTATCCTTAAAGAAAATTGGTGAAATTTATCCCGATGAATAATGTGGCTTAAAAGAGACTAATACATATATAGAGAATGTTAGTTAAAACTTTTTACTACATTGACAAGAAATATTCAAAAAGAAATATGTCTATAGAAAGCATATTGTAAAACTATAAAGAAGGCGCTTTTATATAACTTTTTTCTTCAGCAGGTGACACCAAGCTCTGTGAAGTATCCAGGATGGTAGATTTATTTTAAGTTCAATTCAGAAATTTTCTGCCGTTAATAATAGTTTACAATTCTTAACAGCTTTCGGAAAGGTTCCAAAAGACCTATTTCTAGCCATATAGTTAGTTGAGAGCAGTTGAGGAGTCAACACCTCTCTCAAGAAAGCATGCAAAATGTTCGCTAATTATAAGAGGACTAGGGCCGAATCCCTTATAGAAAACTTGTATGTTCGAGAGGAAACCTTTTAGGTTCCCGTTTGATAAATGTGGATGTCAAGTCCACTAGAAACATCGAGAATGGGTTTACACCCTTTGATTATTGTGGATGTCAAGTCCACTAGAAACATCGAGAATGGGTTTACACCCTTTGATTATTGTGGAAGTCAAGTCCACTAGAAACATCGAGAATGGGTGTACACCCTTTGATTATTGTGGATTTCAAGTCTACTAGAAACATCGAGAATGGGTTTACACCCTTTGATTATTGTGGATGTCAAGTCTACTAGAAACATCGAGAATGGGTTTATACCCCTTGATTATTGTGGCTGTTAAAAGTCTACTAAAAACAAAAATTGGATTAGACCCTTTGATGAGTGCCAATTGTGGATGTCAAGTCTACCTGCAACATCGATAATGGGTTTACACCCTTTGATTAGTCTGGATGTCAAGTCTACTAGAAACATCTAGAATGGGTTTACACCCTTTGATTATTGTGGATGTCAAATCTACTAGAAACATCGAGAATGGGTTTATACCCCTTGATTATTGTGGCTGTTAAAAGTCTACTAGAAACAAAAATTGGATTAGACCCTTTGATGATGTAAATTTGTTCTAGATATATAGTGTATTATACAATATGATAAGGGGGGATTTTAAAATGAAAGGCTAAGATAAAAGTAGGACAGTGTATTTATGTATACACAAGGTGTCCCAATGAACATGCAGTTGGGTGACCATGCAAGGTCTGCCTTTTAATCAAAATTGACGAAATTATTTGGAGTTTTCACAATTAAATAATAATTGAATAAAGCCATGAATTAAGTCTACAAAGGAATTGAGTCTTAGCCACAAACTCAAATTTTCTAATCTTTGCAAACTTAATGATGTAATCCTTTGATATTTCAAACTGGGGTTATTGATCTAACAGAAATTATATTTTGATTATCTTATAAGGTTTACGCCATTGGGTTATAAATATATCGGGATTAGAAATTTATTGCCTTGATTTCTCTGCCGGTTAATAATAGATTCAAATGACATGCCTATATTTAGAAACGCTCAAAGTCCTTCTTGGTTCAATTTAAACTATTTTGTCAAAAACAACTTCAATAGAGTCTATTGATTCTCATGTTTATTTGAACACCATGTATGATAATGTGACATAAAAAGAGTAAGCAGAGAGAGAAAAGGGGAAGAAAAACATAGAAATTAAGGAACAGAAAACAAAATATAGTAAACTTCTGATATCAGGGTTTCTAATAACCTGTTCTTGTAAGTGTTCCTCCAATTCACAACAATACCATTCAAACTCGTAGCTGCGCGATAGAGTGGAAGTTCATAACTCTAAAATCCGTACTATCGAAACCTAGAAACCCCATTAAACAAGTATTTCGTAAAAATCAAACCCCCCCCCCTCCAAAAAAAAAATATACAGAATGGAAGTACTTAAGTCTATTTAATGTTGTTACAAAGCAAATAGTTTTACAAGACGCTTATTAAACCACTTATTAAGTGAAATGTATCTGTTACACTGCACAATCGCTGTGTCCCACGCTCATTGGACTATTTAAACTTATAAATTGAGTCTTAAAGTTGTCTTCCATCATTGAATGTAACCGGATAAAATTTCTTTTTCCTCCTTGTGCGAAAAATACAAAAACAAAAAGAGTTCAACGAGGTTTTAAATTTGTCCCAGTAATATCTGATAAATGTTAGCCGCTCTCTGTCTAGTAACATGTACAATTCACAACAGTACCCTTCAAACCTTTCCCTGAATAACAATAAGGGAGATA